TAGCAACTGCCTGTTGGGTAACACACAGGAAGGTGTTCTGTACCAGGTGCTGAGTCGGCGCTAACAGTAGCATAGCATGACTCTGTGCAGCGCTAATAGGTGAGAGCTGGTTGTTCCCGACTGGCTGGTCCAACCTGCTGGCAGCCATTAGGATTGTGGGAAATGTAGGCAGTGTGACTGAGATCTCTCAGGACCTGAAACATCTGGGTGGAAGGAAAGAGAACTGGACTGGAACAGCTCAAGTGGATAAAAGAGGAAACTTCTCATCACCAGTTTGGGAATATCTAGGATTTTCAAAACAAAAATCTAATTATCAATATGAAGTGACATGGAGGGCTTTTGTTGTGGTGTCTGTTCCAGCAGTAAATGTAAGCTGAGGCCACGCCCCCTCTGGCCTGAGCTAGCGTTAGCGTCTACCTGCTAGCTGGTCGGGACCAGCGGTCAGGCTGATGTAAGCCGCAGCTGCGATGCCGCTCCTCCAGCAGCTGGCGGGTAAATCAGGCTGAGGTAAGGGGCCGGGCGGCGCTGCGTGTCGGAGCGGAGGATGTGCAGCTCGCTGTCGGACCTGCTGTGTTTGTTGGAGCGGCTCCTCCAGGTTCCTGGCTCTGCAGATGTTTGTCCTCGTGCCCAAACGTCTCCAGATTCCCAGGGCTGCTGGGAGGTTGTGTGAGGACACAGACGGGATGATTCACTCTGATAGGAGCTGCCTCCTCCATGTGATTCCCTCTTTTATTTGTGCTCAGAGAGAGGGAGAGACTTCCTGTTTTCCTCCTCCTTTTCCTGCACTTTGCTCCCTTTGTTTTCCTTTTTTTGCTTCACTCTCTTTCTCTGTTTTTTCTGCTCCACTTTGGATTTTCTTCTTAAATCCTAACAGTTTTTGACACATTTCCACCTCCATGACTCATTTTATCCCCAGTTTTCCCTTCGTCAAACGCAGATCGTTCTCTTTGTCTGAGCTGCTGAATTAAATCTGAGGAACAGTGTAATATATCAAAGGAACTTTTTAATACCATTCAATCTTTTTCTAATGTTTCAAAGTCAAACTTTGTACTTTGTTGATTTTTTTATGGAGCAGAGCAGCAAAAACTAAGCGTTCTTATGAAGTAGACATAAAACAAATGATGGTTTTTAAACATTTTTTTTACTAAGGATGTTCTGATATTGATTCTCCGGTCAGTAATATTTACTCTCTACACTTTCCACACCACCTTTGTTGTTTCTCTGCTTCGGCTAAACACCCAGAATCCTTTGCTCCATCTCTGTCACATGATCTCAGACATCACCTGACCAACTCTTGTCCCGTCGTTTAATAAAAACTAGAAAAGACTGAATTAAAACAACATTCAAAGCTTTGAACATCTTCCAGAACTCCATCACCTGCTCCACCTCCAGCTGCTGTGGTTCTGAGTCAAACCAACCTGTTCCCCTCCTGGCCTGTGGGGGCGCTGCACCAAGAACCACTGAAGGAAACGACACAAAAACCTCTGAAGACACTGAGAGCAACTTCCTTCTTCACCAGATGGAAACAAGATGGAGGATTTTAGCGGTGGAGGATTTCTCTTTAGGCTAAAGACCAGGAGCCATTTCTGCTGCTAGCGCTAGGCTAGCACGTTAGCTTTGGTTGGATTTACCCAGAATGCCCTGCTCTGTAGTCCACTTCCTGCTTTTGGAGCGGTCTCTGGTCCGCTTGGCGTTCTCATTCAAACCGAACCAGAGTTCACTTCAACCAAACCCAGAACGAGGTTTGGAGGACCAGAGGTCAGAGGTCGATTAGCGTTCACATCTCACCAACCGAACCGGACTTTGACTAGACTGAAGGACTGGAGTCGGGTTGAAGCGGACCGGACCTGGTTCTGTTTTTGGGAACATGTGGTCAGACGTCTGCAGAAGAATCAAAAGCTAACAGGACGGATTTCTCTCCTTTCGGTTGTTGAGGTTTTCAGGTGGTGTATCTCCAGGTTTCCTGATTTCTTTCTGATTTCCTGTTTAAAGCTTCCTTGTCTTTAATTGGTCCAAGTGAACAGCTCTTTCTGGATCTGTGGACAAGTTTACTGTGTTTGTGACGTTGTGTGAAACAGAAGCAGCATCTTTCTGGTTCATGTCTGGTGTCGATCGATGCAGTTCCACCTGGCAGCCTCCAGAGGGCGTCGGCTGCGTTGCTTCGTGCGTTCAGAGCCTGGTTCTGATTCGTTCATTGACTGCCTTGTTGTCTTGGGAAGCGTCTCTCGGAGTGAAGAACGACCCGTGCTGACCCGACCGGACCTGTAGCGGTGCTGAGAGCAGACGCTTTGGGATCAGGATCTGGAATCGGACCCGGCTCCGCTCTCTGCTCGCTCCGCGGGTTTGCCAGAGCTGGAATGCAGCGAAGCATAGTTTGGTTTGTGAGCCATAATCAAATCAAAATGTGTCTGCATACTTTCCCATGGGGAGCGGAGGAGCGGAGGAGGGGGTCCAATTAAACGGTGACACTCGGAAAGAATGGCAGATAAACAGACGGATAATCATCAGGAATGGACGGAGGCTCAAACAAAGGCCGGAGGAGCGGGAGGAGGGCGGCTACTGGTATTCCGGGTTATTTTTGGACGTTTTCAGAAGCAGAAACGTGTTTTTACGTAACTCTGCATCAGGCTGCAGCTAACGAGCTAACATACCAAAATGTTTCGGGGCGGAGACGGAGAGTGGGAATAATGCGGAGTCACATCTGTGGCTCATTAGGCTGACGACACCTTTTAATTCCAGTTCTCATTACGGCCGGAATGACGGGACCGCGCTCCGAGCCGGTTCCCAGTCCAGCAGGAAGCTTTGGACGAGCGGATAATTAGGAGAGATCTGCTTTAGCATCAGACTAATTGAAGGCTGAGCGTCATGTTTATGGACTCACCAAAACAAGTTTAAACATGCTGCTCCTCATTTAAACCCCACAGAGCTGTGATTGGTGGAACAGCAGCCAATCAGGACCCAGAGCACATCAGTTCCTCTCCTCAGGTCTCAGCCATGTTCTGCTGCTTCACCTTCACATCCCACCATTTCAGCTGCTGCTGCTGAGCGTTTCCATGGAGACAGGAGGTCACAGGGCCGCTGCATACACAGTGATACACACACACACACACACACACACACACACACTCTGACCCGGCGGTAATCTGTTTCCCAAACCGTTTCACACGCCAAAGTTTCCACTTCAGACAAACTTAAATACACTCAGGCTGTGAAAGCTAAACAGAACCGGGGGGGGGGGGGGCTGAGTCGGGTCTGATGTTTGCAAACAGAACCAGAACCTCCTGCTGGATAACTGGACCTTAACAGGATTACAGCCTGTTTTACTGCAGTGGAGCTGCTGCAAAACGCGGCGCTGAGTCACCATGGAGGAGTCAGCTGGTCCAAGCCTGCTGGACCCGACCAGAACCAGACCTGGACTGGGACCAGGACCAGCCTGGACTGGACCAGAACCAGGTCCAGGTCAGCCATCCTACTCAGCTGTAGCTCTGACTGACCCTGTCCTGTCGGGTCGGTGGAACCAGAACCTTCTGATCCAGACGGATCAACCTGAGCGTTTCCATGGAGACGCGGGTCACAGGAACGCTGGTCAGGAGGTCTGACTCCATCCAACTTTTAAAATGTCACAAAGCAGAAAATGTGAATTAGTCGTTTCCATCACTTCCAGGCTGGGCAGGAAGTGATGTCATAAGATGGCGATGCTCTGATGAACAGGAAGTGGAAGCTGCTAACTACCATGTAGCAGTGAGTTCCTCCCTCCTGGAGGTTTAGATGTAAACATTTCTCAGTGGATGATAGTTTCTGTCAGAACTTGATCATTTTTCTGTCTCATGTTTAAAACAACTATTTTTCAGAAAAGCTAAAAAAACACCTAAAGTGATCGTAAAAATGGTTGTGAATTGAATGAAGCTATTTGCTTTTTCCTTCGACCTTTCCTGATGCGATGCTTCAAACTGAGCATAAAACGATGATAGAAACATAAAACAGGTCAGGACTGAGGTTCGCTTGATTTATTGTTGGTTTTGTCCCTGAACGTCTCTGAGCTGTTTGTGTTCAGCTGAGCAGCCTGAGTCTGGTCCAAACTGAAGATCGCCTGTCAGAGTCTCCTCTGCATCTTCTCTGAACGCTAAAAGCTTTTTCTTTAAAAGGAAAATGAAACGAGACGAGAGCCACGAAACCCTGAGTTTGACAGAAATGTGCTCAGATTGTGGCCTAGTTAAAGTCTGGTCCAAGCTCCATCTGAACCCTGTTAACAGATCAAGTTCCCATCCTGCAGTCTGTTGGGCCTTCCAGCAGAGACTCCCTCCGCACCAATCAGATTCAGCACCCGTCCATCAGACTCTCAGACGTTTTTATTATGCTGTGATTTTTAGCGGCACTGCACCAGGTGAGTCCTTCACGGCGACCTCTCATTGACCCCGGGCAGCAGACGAAGGAGTCGTGTGGGAGGTTTTATGTAACCATTAGAAGCTGTGATGCTGCAACATAGATCTGATTTAAATAGACAGCAGCCGCCATGCAAATCGGCTGGATGAGCGTGAGATGCTCCCTGACCCGCTGGGACCTCATCCAGCAGAAACATGACGGATGTTTACGACATGCTGCAGGTGGAAATGCATCGCTGCACCTGGACGGCCCAACATCACAGGTTCTTCTTCACCGTGAAGCCGGTCGGGTCGGTTCTGGAACCTGTTATTGTCTCTGACTCTGGTTCTGTCAGTCGGTTCGGGTTTTAGAGGAATCCTCAGAGGTTTGGGTTTGATGGAAAACCAAACAAACGTTCCCAAACTGAGATCCCAATGATGCTAACTCCCACCTGCAGGGGGCAGTGTTTCCAGCGCTGCCTCAGCCTGACGTGATTTCAGGTTGTAGTCTGTCATCGATGTGGCGAGTCACAAAGATCCAGCTGTTTAAGTTCAAAGAATAAAAATGTTTCTGTTTATATATTTTTGTATCTTTTTTCCAAAGCAGCACAAAGTCGGTGGTTCTGATCCAGAAACAATCGTGACCTCCTGGAGGGCCGATCTCGGGTCTAGTGATTTGTCCTGTTCTGATGCGGCGCTGGTCCTCCAGACAGAACCGGTTCATGTGATTTCAGGACCTAACCTAGAATATAACCCGAGGAAGTCGATGGAGTCGGTGTGGTCTCTGTAGTTCACTGGGACCAGACTCTCAACCTGCTGGTTTGGACTGGGAGGAAGCCAGAGTACCCAGAGAGAGTCCAGCCATCCACAGGGAGAGCGTTCTGACAGGGATGGCCTTGACCTTTGAACCCAGGAGCTTCTTGCTGCTCCTCATCGTCCCCTGAATAAAGATCATCAGTAACTTCAGGATTCTCCTTCTGGTGTTCATCAACCAGCTGAAGCCGTAGCTTCCCAGTCCTGATCTCCATCCGACCCCTGCTGCCGTTCCAGCTCCTCTTTCCGTCCCAGCGGACCGCTGGAGAAACTTTCTGCCCTTCAGTTTATTATTTCCACTGACAAATTACATTTTGAGGGAAATCTAATGCAAATGTGGCCGTACCCTCTGTCCACAGAAACCATATCCGTGTCTCCGCTGGGCTTGTTTGAGCGCAGCAAATGTAAACTTAGACTCCGCTGCTCGCCATGCAAATCCACAGGTGGGTCCAGTTTAAAAGGAGCATGTGGTGAGATGTTCGAGAAATGAAAAGCCCAAATTACAAACAGGAGAGCCTCTTAATGCAAAACCACCAGAGGATAGATGGTGTTTAGATGCAGCGACGCAGTGGGTGAGATGGAGGTGCGTAAAACCAAAATCACCGTTTATTTTTCAGTAAATTTTAAAGCTGATGTCTGTTTACATCGTCTCCGAACACTTACCACATCATTAATCCTCCTGTTTGTTGATCAAAAACCTGAACTTTAACGTGCTTTCCAACTGCCTCGTTCCTCAGTGACGCATCTTCTGAGAATTTTACCATTTACCAAACTCAGAACGGATGTAAACTGAAGGTTAGATACCGGACAGAGCTTTAATTTGGGCGTGAGAAAGAATCATCTCAGTCTGTCGGAACCGTACGGGTTACGCAAGACATGCAGCTTCTGATGTGCTAAAGTCAGTCAGCAGCGTGGCTGTTATAACGGGGACTATTTCTGGTTTAATTCCTGCAGAATTTGTAAAATCGTCCAGAATTGGTGGAAATGAGTTCTGTTGGGTCCAACTCCACGTTGGGATTGGATCCCAGTTTCTTCCTGAACGGCATCACGGCTCTGCTGGCCTCCAACGTGCTGCTGGGTCTGCCGGCCAATGGCTACGTGGCCTGGATGATAGCGAGCGAGTCCAGCGGCCCCGCCGTCTCGGAGCTCTTCGCCCTCAACCTGGCCGTCGCAGAGATCCTCTTCGCCTGCTCCTCTTTCTACGTGATGCTCCACTTCCTGCTCAGGATGTCCCAGGAGGTCGGGGTTCTGGTTCTGAAGCTGTTCCTGCAGCTCATGCTGATTTCTCGGCCACTCTTTCAGACCTGCATCTGTCTGGAGCGCTACATGGCCGTGGTCCATCCCACCATCTTCATCAGGTAAATTCAAGGGAGAACTGCAGAAGGACCAGAGTTATTGGAACGGCAGAGTTCCTCCAGACCGGACCCAGATATCGGCACTGGTCTGGTTCTGGTGTCTCGGAGTATCTCACAGTATTTCAGTGTACTTCAGTGTATCTCACAGTATCTCACAGTATTTCAGTGTATCTCAGTATTTCAGTGTACTTCAGTGTATCTCACAGTATCTCACAGTATTTCAGTGTATTTCAGTGTCTGAGTATTTCAGTCTCAGGTGTTTCTGGTCTCATATCAGTGTTTTCCTGATTCTTCCTGCTTGCAGGCTGAAACCTCTGCGGTACCGTTTGGCCGTCTGCCTCTTTGACTGGCTGCTGATCCTGCTGGACTTCATGTTTCCCTTCCTCGGCCCGTCCCTCACCATCGCTGCTTGCTACTTTATAGCCAAGTCCCTGCTCTTCCTGTCCGTCTTGTCTTACTGCGGTGTCCGCGTCCTGCTCGTCCTGAAGCAGCCGGGTCCGGGCGACAGCTCCCGCAGCGTTGAGAGCTGGAGCGCCATGAAGAGGAAGGCCTTCAAGGTGATCGTCATCACCCTGGGGTTCAACAGCGCCACCCAGCTGCTGCAGATCCTCATGCTGGGCCCAACCGTCCTCACCGCGTCTCTGCTTCTCATTCTGCAGCTCACGTTGTTCAGCCTCTTCATCAGCATCATCAGCAGCTTCATCACTCCTCTGCTGTTCCTGCACAGAGCCGGAAAGCTGCCCTGCATCAACTTCTAGCTGTTGCAGAGACCCAGTTAAGGTTCCTGCCGCAGCCCGAGTCGTGGACAAACAACCTGTTCACAAACAAAACAATAAATTTCCCCAGAAACCTGATTCATCCTTCCCAATGATCCGTGACTGTTTATTTGGGAATACTAATCATTCCCATATTCCCTGTTTTCAGGCCTCTTCACTTGGGAACTTGTGATGAGTGCCTAGAGACTAACCTTAGCTTTTATTGAGCCTCGAGGGCTCCTGTAGATTCGTCCCTGAGCAGCTGAACGTTAGACTCCTGGTTCCTGTTGAAACGAGAAAATTCCCTTTGAAAGCCTTTAACCCAGGGGTCCCCAAACTACGGCCCGCGGGCCAGATCCGGCCCGCCTCTTCATTTGGTCCGGCCCCCTGAACAATACCAGAGAGCATTCAGTGTTTTTTTTCATATATATGTGGATTTTTCTTCAACCACCAGGGGGGGCTCTTGAGCAGATATGAAACTTAGTTTCCCTCAATGGAATATATACTAGTCGGTACCAGTCACCGTTTCGCTCACGGTTTTTTTCCCATTTGCATTCTGGGTAAAAATCTATCTACAAACGCGAATATGTCGTCGGCAGTAATCGACCGATAAACGCATCACTTCCTGATGATGTTGGACTCTGGACGCCGTCGTCTGAAGGAGACGGAGATTCCAAACAGATGAACTTTAACCCCCGACCCTGTCAACCCCAGTCCCACTGGTCCCGGTACTCCCAGTGTGAGATGGAGTGAAGGAACTGGTGGAACCGGGTCCAGTTCCTCTGGATGAGTCTCTCAGACCTGTCATGTTGAAAGTCGTCTCCGTTCTCCAGAGAGATGCTTGTCTAAGGACAAGAGCAGCGCCCCCATCAGGTGTGTGTAGTCACTGCAGACCACCGTAGCGCCCGGAGCCTCCATGTTGAGGTTCTGTTCTCAGAGCCGGACCGGGTCGGACATCAGGACCAGAACCTTCTGGACATTTGGACGTCGGTTCCAGGAGCATTCAGAGCTAATCTGACTTTAGAGTGAGGAAAACATTTCCTCCTCTTCCTCCTCCAGCTGATTTATGGCCTGATCAGTTGGTTCCGTTAAAAAGAGGCATTCTGGACGGATCAGAACCAGAACCACTCGTTGATGAATCGTCAGTCGCAGCCAAGCTGCAGAGACAAACTGTGCAAACATTCAGCATGACGGGAGCTAATGGGACGTGATTAATGCAAGTCCAGGTCCAACGGGGTCCATGTTGCTGTCGGAACAAACGGGTCGGGTCGCGATTAATGAGGTCAGCCCGGCAGCTGAGTCTTCCTCCAGATGCTGCTGGATACCGGTCCGGTCTCAGCAGGAACTCTGGCTGCAGAGCCGAGGCCCGGTCAGCGGCCCGGATCAGAACCAGGGCCTCCGTTGGTTCCTTCTGTTCGTCTCAGGACAGAAATGTTGGGTTCTGCTGACCCAAAGCGTCTTTCCTGGACAAAACGAATTTTCAGCAGGAATACTCCAGAAACCGTTCAGCTGAACCGGGTCACTGCTTCCTGTCCAAGACCCGGTTCTGTGAAGCTTCACCGGGTCATGGCTGGACCCAAATTACATGACCTCTTTTCCTGTAGTTGTCGTGGTGATTTTACCTCAGGTAAGATTAGCCTGACGGATAAAACAGGCAGAGGAAAATGAGGAAGAGGAGGGAAGGAGGAAGAGGAGGCGCGTGGCCCAGAACCACAGAGCAGTTCTGCTTTGATCAGCCCACTAACCGTCCAAAGACCGTCTCTGGTTCTGGTTTGCTGGGCCTTGTTTCCAGCTTGATTTCCCAGTTCCTTAACTGGAGTCCAACGTGTCCTTCGGGACGCTGGACGATTGGTCCAAACGTCCTGACAGCGTCACCATGTCTCCGACCCAGGACATGGTGACTAATCCTGACCCACAGTACAGCTGACCCAATTACTGCCAGAACCAGAACCACTTTAACCTGAAGTGCAAATAAAAGTCAGAACGAGACTATTGAGCTAACAGCCAAGCTAACCTGACTGCTAACTTTGAAAACATGTATCGCTCTTAGCTTCTCCTATGTTGTTTTTCATTTTTAAATGTTGTGCTCATTTTCTTGGATGTTTTGTAAACTTCCAGTTAAATAAAGTTCATATTCTGTGCAGAAGCCAAATTACACTAAATGTTTGTGTAGCACTTTAG